GCGATACCCGAGAGAGCCTCTTGTTAAGATGACAGGGGTCCACCTAACTATGATTTTCCTTCACACCCTCGGAAGAAGGTTATCTGATCCTTTCAACAAGTCTACAAGATAAGCCTGACTTCTGGGAAAGTCCGAGAGCTCCAAGAGTGTGTGGCTGAATATTAATACATATCTACGACACATAATTGACACAACCCTGGACAATCTCTAGCAATCTTACCCCGAAGTACAAAGCATGTTTGTTGTGCCGAGGGGGCTTCAAGACTCCTCCCCCGGCCTTCCAACAAACACACACACACATATCCTTTCCAAATTAGACTGGCACTCACCAAAAGCCTGTGCTACAGAAACTCCCGAGTGCTCCCTCCCAGAAGATGCGGAACCAGACCCTGAACAGCCATACCAGCCCATGGGAAGACTCCCTTCCCCAGGGAATTCCAAGATGGGAACAGGGACAGCGTGGTCATAAGTAAACAGGCTTGTGTTTGACCCTTAACTAGGTGTAATAGTTCAGCCTCTGCTGATAGCAAGTGCTATGTGTGTGTCAAAAATTACAAATCAATTGATTTTACAGTGTACAAAGGCAGGATGTTTTTAGCAAGCTACGAATGTCACTCAGAAACCTGGGTGTCAAATATGTGAGTAATAAGAGTAAGCAACAAAATATTTTATTCATTCATGATGATGAGGGCAGCATATTTTTAACAACCTGTGAGGCCAGTCTGCAAAGTCAACATCGCACGCTACAACAGGAATGAGCAAATGCTGGCCTTCGGGCTAAATCCAGCCCTCTGATTATTTTTGTCAATAAAACTACTGGAGCACAGCCATGCCCGCTTGTTTACATATTGTCTATGGGGATTTTTTTTGTTTTTTTAAGAGTCAGGTTCTTGTTCTGTCTGTCACCCAGGCTGGAGGGCATTGGTACAATTATAGCTCAAAGCAGGCTCAAACCCCTGGGCTCAAGTGACCCTCCCACCTCAGCCTCCTGAGCAATCTCAGGCTCATGCTACCACTCCTGACAAATTTTCTAATTTTTGTAGAGATGGGGTCTTGCTACGTTGCCCAGGCTGGTCTCAAGCTCCTGGGCTCAAGCGATCCTCCTGCCTTGGCCTCCCAAAGCACTGGAATTACAGGCGTGCACCTCCGTGCCTAATTATAGCAGCTTTTTTGCACTCTGTGCAACAGAGACCGTGTGTCCTGCAATGCGGAAAATATCTGCCATGTGGCCCCTACAGAGAATTGCCCATCCCTGGATTAGACTAAAGGAGAAAAGCCACAGCTTGTTTGGAGACAGAAGCAGACGAGACTCAGACTTCTGAAAAGATAAAAAGTTTTATTAAACAAACCTGGAATCAACAGTATTATTACATAAATTAGACAGCAGTAAAATTTTCCTAGGGCATATGTACAAATCACAGTGATTTCCATTGTGCAACAAACAGACAGGATTAAAAATAGGCACTCCCCTCCCCGACCCGCCATGAGAAGGTGGGGTCACCCCGCGGGGTTCCCAGTTCTGGCTCGCCAAGGGGTGCACAAACCTGCAAAGGCACTCTGCCTGTGTGCGCGGCATCCGGCGGCAGTCACAGGGCCCCAGAAGCACGGTGGCAACACGGTGAGGCCGCCCAATGTTCAGCGCAAAACAAGAATTCAGCTACAACAGCTGAGCAGAGCTCAACAGCCATCTCACAGGATAAGGACCGTGGAAAGGCTTCAAATCCCATCCGCTAGAACACAATTGTAATGCCTTTTACATACAGAACAGACGTGTCCACCATGGAAGATCAAACTAAGCCTCAACAGAACCTCCCGACACACAGTAATTTACAGAGAACCTGACAGGGCATTCCCCTGTTATTAGGAAGGACTCTTCTGCGGGGTGCAAGGCCATAAGGTTTGCAAAGCAAACTTGATTATGAAAAAGCTTGGTGAAAATACAGCCCCCCCACCTTCACCAAGACACACACCCCGCCCCAAGAAACTATCGAAATGCATTAAGACACCTGTTCATGTGCTTTTCTTCTTGCTTTTGTTAAGTGAATCCCATTCCTTTAAGTTAGACTAATTAGAAGGCCTTCTTGCCTCCGTCAGCAACAGAGAAAAAAACAGTGCATACGACTCCTCCAATGTGTGTAAAATGCATGCTAGGTAGATCGAAGGAAAGATGAGAGGAACCCGGGCACCCCATTTCAAATCTCTACAACAGGAGAAATCAAAGGCTGCAAGGACTGTGTAGACCTGATGCAAAGTTAACTGGCTACAAAAATAAAACCCAAGCCAGTGCTGTCTTGCACTCTGTTCACTCAGTAGGTGGAGCCATGAATGCCTATGACATTCTGGTGTGGTATTTGTGCAGCCTGAGGTGCACCCTGGCTACAGAGTTGAGCCTTGGGGTCTTTAACAGTATTAAGCCATAGTTTCACAGTTACAATGGTCCAAAGAACTAGAGGCCACGTAGGTCAAACACAGAAATGGCGAACACATCACGAACCACTCAACTGTTTGGTTCCACTGGTGATTTTTTTTAATGAGTAGTGATTTCAAATGATTTGGTGTTTTTGTTCTTGTTTTTGCTTTTTCTTCGAAGCAAACAAATGATTTGGTCTTTAAGTGTGGACAGAAAGAAACAAAACGCTGAATGAGAAATTCACAAACAAGTGATTGTGCAGTTGTTTGATGGGCACGGAGAGGGAGTGGGGCTGAACAGCATTTTGAGGGGACGAAGCGTGCAATCTTACCCCACTGCTGGGGGGTTTCTGCTTCTTATTCTATCATGCTGACAGCAAATATAATGTGCCCATCACTGGCTATAGATACGTTTAGGCTAAGCAGGATTTAGACTTCTGTTGCAAAGGAATTAGAAGAATTCAGTAGATACAGTGTATACTATTCGGTTGTGACTTTATTTCCTTCCTGGCTTTATCAATGCCTATGAAAGCAGGCTGGTGGCATTTCCCTTCAGAAAAACAAGACTTGCCCCAATATACTTCTTGTTGTAACATATCCATTTCCTAAAGATATTCTCTTATAGTATTCCAATTTAAGAAAATACTGCCAACTCATAAAATTACATGAAGCAAAGTAAATTTGTAATGTTTTTCTGATACAAATTTTGTGATTATTATAATGAATTTTCCTCCACATTTTGCACGGTGATTGTTTCACATGATCATCTATGAGAAAATTTTGGAATGACCACCCAGGTCAACTATTTTTATTTTTTTTATTTTTATTTTTTGAGATGGAGTCTCGCTCTGTCGCCCAGGTTAGAGGGCAGTGGCACAATCTCGGCTCACCGCAGCCTCGCCTCCCGGGTTCAAGCCATTCTCCCGCTTCAGCCTCCCGAGTAGCCGGGATTACAGGCGCCCACCCCCACACCTAATTTCTGTATTTTAGTAGAGATGGGGGTTTCGCCATGTTGGCCAGGCTGGTCTCGAACTCCTCACCTCAGGTGATCCGCCCACCTCAGCCTCCCAAAGTGCTGGGATTACAGGCGTGAGCCACCATGCCTGGCCAGGTAAACTCTTTTAAAATTATATATAGTGATTGTTCCGTGTTTATAGCTCATTTTGATTAAATTAACCTCTACATGACATTGGGCCATTTAAACTATGACCCCGCCATGGGCAGTTACCAGGTAGCCCGTGTCACTTCAAACGCTGAAATGTGCGCGACGGTCAAAAGTGGGTTTCACACCATCACACGTTCTTGGAATTGCTTCTAATTTCTCATTTGTTCTGTATGGCTAGAGGCTGATAACAATGTCCGTAAAGAACGAGGTCATCCATGTGCTTGCATATTTCATTTTCCTGCATATCAGGTCACAATTAAGGCATTTCAGGCTTTCCTGATGCTAATTTTCATCTGAGTATGAAATCCTGGATAATCAAACAGACAACCTAAAAATAGGCATATGGACTCATGGGTCTATGTACTTTTTAAAATGTGCTCAAGTGTTTCATTTATGGTTTTATTAATAATTTTTAAAGTAGAATGTTCAATAATATTACTATGATTTATTTTTATAGTCAGCAAACATGAGACCTAATGCTTTTCCTTCTAGCTCCACATCTCAGTGCACAGTATAACCTTTTTAAAAAAAAAAAAATTTGGAATGCTGCATGAATATGCGGATCTTCCTTGCAAAGGGAGCCATGCTAATCTCCTCTGTGTCATTCCAATTTTAGGATACCTGCTGCCGACGTCAGCACCAGTTTCACCTTTTCACATTCACGGTGAAACTGATGGGAAACTGCATGCTACATGTTTAGACAATGATGGCCCTCAACTGTTAATCCCAACAAGATGGTGAGTGAGACGCACAGGCTGAAAATACAGTTGTCTAAAACATTTCCACATTTCACCATCTGAACATCATTTTCCACTGACTGATTAATTGCAAAGAGTTTATTCTACTGAACCTACTAATTATTCTCACCTACTGAGTTGACCTCCACGTGAAGAAAAGGTCATTGATGAAAAAGGGCAGCTGTGTTCTGTTTCTGCAATTTCACTGTGTTGTAACATTTTTTTTTTCTTTTTATAGAGATGAGGACTCGCTATGCTGCCCAGGCCGGTCTCAAACTCCTAGGCTCAAGCAATCTTCCTGCCTCAGCTTCCCAAAGTCCCAGGTTTACAGGAGTGTGTCACTGTACCCAGCTTCACTGTCTTTGAAAGCCTTAAGGTGGACGTTCTCTTCATTCCACCTGCGAAAGCACAAAGCCATTAACTTTTTTTTTTTCTTTTTTTTTTTCTTTTTTTTTTTTTCCTGGACAGGGTCTCACTCTGTCACCGAGGCTGGAGTGCAGTGGTGTGATCTCAGATCACTGCAGCCTGGACCTCCCTGGATTCAAGTGATCCTCTCATCTCAGCCTCCTGAGTAGCTGAGACTACATTCACGTGCCACCATGCCCAGCTAATTTTTTTGTATTTTGTAGAGATGAGGTCTCACCATGTTTCCCCGACTGGTCTCCAACTCCTGGGCTCAAGCAATCCACCCACCTCAGCCTCCCAAAGTGCTGGGACTATAGGAACAAGCCACTGCATCCAGCTCAGATGAAATTTTTGAATGTGTCACAGAAGGTTGTTTTAAGTACAGTACATTCCTCCAACAACTTCAATGTCATTGTAGATTCTTGGAATAAATTCGCTCCCATATCTTCTTTCTCTTTGTTTCTTCTTTTAAAATCTCAAGTTACCAGGTAGGAAGCACTAAAGATACTGAAGGTAGACCTCCCCATGATATTTTCTTCCCCCAAACTATAAAATACATGTGAGATGATCTTTTTTAATGCATGCAACATACCCTTCAGATGTTGTCCCCGAGAAGAGATTTTTGAAAAAACAAATTGAAAAATAAAAATTATAGGCTCTGTGAAGTATGAACATTTACATCACTGCACAGTTTCTGTGCATCTACCATAATGACTTCTATATATACACACAGGCATACACACACACACACACACAATTTGTGGTTATAATCGAACAAGTCCAGTTCAAACTTACAAACTTAAGTCTATGAGAAAAACCAAGACATCACAGTAGGCACACAACAACACTAAAAGATAAGATAAAATCTACAACCAAACAATTTTCAAAACCTTCCTACAGTGTGGAATTCCAGTTGCTTAAATAATGCCAGTTCCATTAATTTCAACTGTGCTCTGATCTATTTCTATACACACAGGTACACAGAAAAGTGGAAATGTCCTTATGCCGTGAAGAAGACATTTTACTTCTGGTCTGCTTAGGTGCAGTTCTTTGTTCCAGGCCGATTCCAATCTTCCTGTTTCTAGCATGAAATAGGATGAAAGATTTTGTGAGTTTCTCAGTAACTGGATGAATTTCGTACTCATGATCATCTCAATGATAACACAAAGGTTTCCTTTTCCTAAGTGACAACAAAGAAAACTTTGTAATTCTTTTGCAAGGATCCATAAGCCTGAATTCTAAAAGGAGAGGCCAATCAAAAGGAAATGAAGAATGTTTCAAAGGTAAGGGTTTTTTTTGGTTGGTTTGTTTGAGACGGCGTTTTGCTTTTGTTGCCCAGGCTGGTGTACAGTGGCGCAATCTCAGCTCACTGCAACCTCTGCCTCCCAGATTCAAGAGATTCCCCAGCCTCAGCCTCGCGAGTAGCTGGGATCACAGGCGCCTGCCACCATGTCTGACTGATTTTTGCATTTTTGATAGAGACGGGGTTTCACCATGTTTGCCAGGTTGGTCTCGAACTCCTGACCTCAGATGATCCATGCGCCTCAGCCTCCCACAATGCTGGGATTACAGGTGTGAGCCATCTTGCCCAGCCCTGTTTTCATTTTTGAGATACGGTCTAACTCTGCCATCCAGGCCGGAGTACAGGGAAACAATCACAGCTCACTGCAGCCTCAACTTTCCAGGCCCAAGCGAGCCTCCCACCTCAGCCTCTAGAGTAGCTGGGACAACAGGTATGTACCACCACACCTGGCTAACTTTTTTATTTTTTGTAGACATGGAGTCTCACTATGTTGCCCAGGCTTGATCTCAAACTCCTGACCTGAAGTGAGCCTCCTACCTCAGCCTCCCAAAGTACCGGGATTACAGGTAGGAGCCACCCCACCCAGCCTAAAGAATGTTGTATCATACGCTTATCCATAAATAGATAAATGTATCCACCGATAGATGATGACCTGCACAAGAAAAATGGAATCCCCAATTCAACATGCTTCCTCAGAGAACCTCACAGCAAGACAGAAAATATTTTATTACAAAGTAAAATAAAAGACATAGTGAGTCAGTTCTCCTAAATTCCCCCTCCACGTTCAGAAAGGCATGTGGGGTGATTCAAACAAAGATGAACGGCTAAAGCATAGTTTCTAAGCTGCCCTCAAGTACAGTGATTCATCTGAACTGGTGTCCTATTTACAGGAGAAGATTTGGCTTCATGAAGAACTATCTTCCTGCATAAAATTCCTGAACCTAATTGCTCGTTGCTGAAAATGCCAGGGATGTGTTTGGCATGCAAATTACTTGATAAAATTACTGAGACGGATTAAAATATTGCATCTGGGTCGGGCACACTCATGCCTGTAATCCCAGCACTTTGGGAGGCCGAGGCGGGCAGACTGCGTGAGCTCAGAAGTTCAAGACCAGCCTGGCCAACATGGCTAAACTCATCTCTACTAAAAATACAAAAATTTAGCCTGGTGTGGTGGCAGGCACCTGTAATCCCAGTTACTCGGGAGGCTGAGGCAGGAGAATCACTTGAATCCAGGAGGCAGAGGTTGCAGTGCAGCTGAGATCACGCCACTGCACTCCAGCCTGGGCAACAGAGCAAGACTCCGTCTCAAAAAGGAAAAAAAAAAAAATTCATTAAACAGAGCCCTGACCACCACTAGCCAAACTACATTAAAAATGAGTCCACTTAGCAAAAATAATACTTACACATACTTTCTCAACAAGGCATACCAGACTGAGAAAGGTCATTCCTATGTGTGGAATCCTTTTCAGGGACAGTAGGGGCAGCTGGGGACAGGATGTAATGAAACTGTTCACTGATTATAAGACAAAAATCCATCCAATGGAAGCTTTTTTGTTCTTGAAGTAAATTTTACAACTGAGGGCTCTCTGTTAGAGAAAGGTTCTATTTTTGTGGCTTATCAACGGGTCCTTCATACTAAAGCAAACCAAGTCTTTACATCATTTTAAAGATTTGCTGGAGAGACATAATTTGTAAGATGTTATGCGCAAGTTAGCGAAAACGTAAGCCCCAGAGTAGACCAGAGAAACAAACACATTCAGGAACATCTTGTGATTTTTAAAACCCACAACTGGATTCCACAAGCATTTATGAAGTTGATAAAGTTACACACTCTCATGTTAATACAAACCAGTCACCACTGTAAAAGCGTTCATCACATACTGAGAGGTGAAGCCATGCCGCAGAGACAGGTTATTTTCTCGAGGTCATAGCCACCTATTCCTCTATCATTTTGTTCTCTATTATTTTAATTTTTATCCAGTTTTCCTCTTGATACATCCATGGAAACACCCGCCCAGGATGGAGGGCTCTCATTCACCCCGTCCTTCAGCAGGTTGGTTCCTCTCCCCAATCAGCAACTGTGACATTTGGTGTCTGTTTCAAATGGTGTTGGTTAGCCAACTGGGAAGACTACAGGAAAATTATGGGAATGGAAATCAAAGTGGGAAAAACAAGCTATGTCAATGAGTAGACACATCACTGACAATATTTTGCTTCACTGGTATTTTTCTTGCTCATATGTTACAGGAAGAAAGATCTAATTGAAGCCATATAACCGAGCAATTTAGACTTGAGGAGTAACTGAAAGCTCTTTTTAATCCATATTTAAAAACTAATAACAGACTTTCAAAGACTCAAGGAAATAACAGTCAAAACCCTTTTCCAGTCATCTGAAATTAAAGCTTAGCGAATTTCATGAGGGATCCTAAAAAATATTATTATTATTTAAAAAATAATAACAGACCTGCAAAGGCTCAAAGAAGTAATAGACTCAAAATCCCTTTCCAGTCATCTTCAAAGCTTAGCAAATTTCCTATGAGGGTACGTTTCTTCTTCTTATTTTTTAACCAAAGGGGACCTAAGAGACTTTTGAAAATACTTGTTAATTATTGTAAGGAAGCTCGCCTGTCACTCAGGGTTTCTGGAACAGGGACCAGAAGAGCTGGGCTTCTCAAATGTTCAGGCACACACAAACCACCCAGGGGTCTTATTTAGATGTGCAGGTTCTGACGCAGAAGATGGATTCTGAACTGTGACGCCGATGCCTCCGACCACATGCTGACCTGGAGTCACAGGCATGGCTGTGTTTATGTCACTGACCCTTGGAATCATTCCCCTTTGCTCTGCTTCACTGCTGACCTCTGTGCGCATGAGCTTAAGCCCCATTCAGTAAACGCAGCCTCACCTGGATGTGGGGTCGAGTCAGTCTCATTTTTTGGTAATTACTAAATATAAAGATATACCTTCCAGATGTGAGCTCCTGTCCTCAGAAATTCTTGAAGATTTCTAAATCCTTCTGCGGCACGGGTGCAGCTGTGTCCCAGTCATTCTCGGGGTAAGTTTCGAAGTTGGAAGTGTCGCCGTCGCCAGCTATCTTGGGCACGATGGGGGGCTGTGAGACATGGCCGAAGCATAAAGGCATGCTTAGAAAGGAATGGGACGCTAGGATGCTGCACATAAATGAAAATGATTTGCAAAACACTAAAGCTGTCTTCCCTTCATTTATGAACACGGCAATCTTTGAATTAAAATACTGCGAATGAGGCTGGGTGTGGGGGCTCACGCCTGTAATCCCAACACTTTAAGAAGCTGAGGCAGGAGGGTTGCTTAAGTCTCAGAAGTTTGAGACCTGCCTGAGGAACACAGGGAGTCCAGTCTCTACAAAAAATACAAAAATAGCCGGGTGTGGCGCTATGTGCCTATAGTCTCAGCTACTCAGTAGGCTGAGGTGGGAGGACCGCTTGAGCCCAGGAGGTCGATACTCCAAGTGAGCCATGACTGCACCACTGCATTCCAGCCTGAATGACAGGGTGAGATCCTGTCTCAAAATATAGACATATTAAGTAAGCTATGGTACAGTCATGTGATGGAATACAAGGCAGTTTTTTTTTTTTAAATGAGGAAGCTGGCTGGGCACAGTGGCTCACACCTGTAATCCCAGCACTTTGGAGACCAAGGCGGGTGGATCACTTGAGGTCAGGAGTTTGAGACCAGCCTGACCAACATGGAGAAACCCTATCTCTACCAAAAATACAAAAATTAGCCAGGCATAGTGTCGGGTGCCTGTAATCCTAGCTACTCAGGAGGCTGAGGCAGGAGAATCACTTGAACCCAGAAGGTGGAGGTTGCAGTGAGCCAAGATCACACCACTGAACTCCAGCCTGGGCAACGGAGCAAGACTTCATCTCAAAAATAAAAATAAAAATAAAAAAATAAGGAAGCTAGCCAGGTATGTAGACAGGTCTCCAGATTATACAGTCAAATACAAAAAGCAAGACTACAATCATGTACATACTACGCTACTCTAGATTTGTATAAATGAGTGGCAAAAGTAAGAATGCATGTATCCATGTGGGTTTTTATTAGCACAAAGAAACTCTAGAAGGATACACAGAAAAATATAATAAAAGGTGATTACCTACACGTGGCTTGGAGGGGGTAAGAGGGAGACTTGGCAATATATCTGTTTTAATATTGACTTGGTTTTTGACCAATGTGGATAGACAAAACATATTCAAATTGTTTTACTAATGCAATTTAATACAGTAAAGTATTTGAAAAAGTAAAACCTTGAACAAAATCAGCCCACGCCCAGTGGCTCACGCCTGTAATCCCAGCACTTTGGGAGGCCGAGGAGAGTGGATCATTTGAGGTCATGAGTTCGAAACCAGCCTGGCCAACATAGTGAAACCCCATCTCTTCTAAAAATACAAAAAAAAAAAAAATTAGCTGGATGTGGTGGTGCACACCTGTAATCCCAGCTACTTGGGAGGCTGAGGCAGGAGAATTGCTTGAGTCCAAGAGGTGGAGGTTGCAGTGAGTTGAGATCATTCCACTGCACTACAGCCTGAGCCTGAGTGACAAAGTAAGACTCCATCTCAAAAAAAAAAAAAAAAGAAGAAGCAGCAGCATATCATCCCAGGCTCCAGCCCCAGAAACTCTGATCTGAGCTGAGGACTGGGAATAAGCATTTCTAAGCATTCTCCATTCTTTTGACTCTGAAGTGCAAAGGTGAAAACACTACCATTGAACACTCCAATCAGTAACATATGCAGTGCAGAGTGTGCACGAAAGCCAAGATATGGAATCAACCTAAGTGTCCACCAACAGATGAATGGATAAAGAAAATGTGGTCCATACACACAATGAAAAACTATTCAGCCATAAAAGGGAATGAAATCCTGTCATTTACAGCAACACGAATGGAATGGGAGATCATCATGTTAAGTAAACTAAACCAGGCCAGGTGTGGTGGCTCACGCCTGTAATCCCAACACTTTGGGAGACCAAGGCTGGTGGATCACTTGAGGTTAGGAGATTGAGACCAGCCTGGCCAACATGATGAAACCCTGTCTCTAGTAAAAATATAAAAATTAGCTGGGCATCTGTAATCCCAGCTACTCAGGAGGCTGAGGCATAAGAATTACTTGAAGCCAAGAGGTGGAGGCTGCAGTGAGCAAGATCATGCCACTGCACTCCAGCCTGGGCAACAGAGCAAGACGCTGTCTCAAAAAATAAATAATAAATAATAAACTAAGCTAGATGCAGAATGAGAAACACAGCATGTTCCCACTCATATGTGGGAGCTAAAAAAATTGATCTCATGAAGGTTGAGAGTAGAATGATGGTTACCAGAGGGTGGGAAGGGTGTGTGGGTGGGGGATGAAGGCGAGATGAAGAAATATTGTATAAACATAATGTTAGATAAAAGGAATAAGTTCCAGTGTTTGATAGCATAGTTGGGTGGCCAGAGTTAACAATATATCGTATATTTCAGAATAGCTAGAAGGTTTGCAATATTCCCAACCCATAAAAATGATAAATGTTTGAGCTGATGGATACCCTGATTACCCTCGGTTGATCATTATACCTTCTATGCATGTGTCAAAATATAACATGTACCCCCATAAATATGTACATGTGATAGTTATACTGCTTAGCAGCTGTGTAACGTTCCACACACTGCTTAACTTCTCAGAGGCACAGTCTCCTCATTTATAAAACCGACAAGTATTATATATTGAAAAAAATGCCAGATTTTTTTTTTTTTGAGACAGGGTCTGGCTCTGTCACCCAGGCTGGAGTGCAGTGGCATAATTTTGGCTCACTGCAACCTCTGCCTCCTGGTATCAAGCAATTCTTGTGCCTCAGCCTCCCAAGTAGCTAGTACTACAAGCGTACGCTACCACGCTCGGCTAATTTTTATATTTTTTGTATAGATGGGATTTCACCATATTGCTCAGGGTAGTCTCAAACTCCTGGGTTCAAGTGATCTGCCTGAGTTGGCCTCTCAAAGTGCTGGAATTATAGGCGTGAGCCACAGCACCCAGCCAAAAAGCCAGATGTTTAAAAATAGGCAGTTTGGCCAGAAATGTTCCAAAGAATATTCTCCATGTAATACACCACCATCACTGAACGATGACCATGGTGCTAGACACTCGCTTATCTCTGTAATCCTGTTGACCGCCTTCCACTAAAGAGGAAGGAGTGGGGTTCAGCAGTCACAGAGCTAGTCAGGAATCAGGCCAGGTCTCCTAAAATCTGCTTCAAAATCTGGGATAAGTGTCCGTCCAGGGATGAATGGACAAAGAACACGTGCTATATGACTGGGTGTGGTGGCTCCTGCCTTTGCGGGAGCTAGGTAGATGGTTAGCACTAAGACACTCATAGAGTGGGAAACTTGGCTTATGAAAGGTTTTAGACAAATAGTTTAGACAAATAGTTGTATTATATAAATTAATTACATGTCAGCCATCAATAAAGAAGTCCCAGGATTCAGAGGCAGTCCCTGTTAACGGGAGAGCTCGGGCGTACTGAGTCACCCACTGATATGTGTTGTACCTTCAGTTTTCTCTGCGGAACAGCTTCCCAGTCCACAGAGTGGAACCACCGATGGCGTTTCACATCATTTGCCCCGTTCTTCAAAAGAAACAACACATGTCGTCAGTGTGTGGAATTCTGACACGGCAGGAAAGAAAAATACCCCAAAGAATCTCTACATTATTCTAGTATTGAAACAAACGGAACAAGTTTGCTGCATTTTGGATAACTGTGCCTGGAGGGTGAGCTGCTAGGAAAACCTGCAAGCAAAGCTGTTAGTGTTTTGTTTGCCCTTTTTTGTTGCAGAAACAAATCCAGTCATTCTGCTCCTGTGCAATGCGTTGGCATTGCGGACCAAAGACGAAAATGATAAATACGATTCCATCTCTCGACATGAAATTGGACACCCAGTAATTTCCCAGTTTGTCTCCTGTTTTCATCTTGGCAAACTTATTCAGTATTTTACAGATACAGAAACTAGGGTTCACTGAAAGATGTTAATTTGCTTAGTAGGAACCAGCAAGTAAATAAGAAGACTGGGAACTCAAACCAAGGATGTCCAATTTAAGAGATTTTAGGAATGATATTGCATGGCCTGGCAATTAACAACGTGCATTCAAGTCGGCCTGCTTCATGCTCAAGGGTAGCACCAGGCATCGGCTGGCTCACACTGTGGCCATCACGACCTCTGAAATCCCTCCCAAGTGCTCATCCTTAAACCTCACTCTGCTTCCTTTTTTTATACTTGTAGTGATGTTGTTATCAATTAAATGTGGGACAGCAGAATAAACAAACATGTGGGTTCCACGAAATAGAAGTCGGTACATCTGAATTTAACACGTTTATCAGTTAGCATTTCTGTGGTTTTAAATTTCTTATCCTTAAAGAGGACTACATCCACGACTATATCTTCAAAAGGAAACAGCAATGTGAATTGTTTCTATTGTTTTCCCATCCAGTTGTTTTCACAACTTTTTCTCTTCTTATTGCAAAACAGGTATTTTTGATCTACGGCTAAGTCAGGCAACAAATAATAGCTGTCAAGTTTTACCTTCAGCAATGTTGTGAATAAGAGTAAATAAGAGTGCTGTGAATAAAATAAGAGAATAAAATAAAATAAATTTTATCCATCAGATAAAATTCTAATTTGGATACTAAAGGATGTGTGTGTCTGTATATACTCACATGCATACCCAGTAATATATACACACACATATATATTGATATATACACATACTTATATGCATACACACGTTAATATATACACATGCATTTATATATACACATATACACACACATGTTAATATATACACATATATACACATACTTATATACATACACATGTTTATATATACATATATTTATACATACACATACACACATTAATATATACACATATATACACATACTTATATACATACACATTAATATATACACATATTTATATATACACATACACATTAATATACACATATATACACATACTTATATACATACACATGTTAACATATACACATATATTTATATATACACATACATGCGTTAATATATACACACATATATTTATATATACATATACTTATATACATACACACATTAACATATACATATATACACATACTTATATACATACACGTTAATATATACACATATACATATGTACTTTACAAACTTTATATGTAGAGTATAAAGTATATGTATATACTGAGATTTACATTAGTATCCAAACTAGTGTGTGTGTATGTGTTATAAAGTGTGTGTGGGGGGGTGGGAGCAGTGTCTCACATTTATATTCCAGCACTTTGGGAAGCCAAGACAGGAGGATTGCTTGATCCCAGGAGTTTGAGACTAACCTGGGCAACAAAGTGAGACCTGGTCTCTACAAAAAAAATAAAAAAAACTAGCCAGCCATGGTGATACATGCATATAGTCCCAGCTGCTCGGGAGGCTGAGGTAGGAGGATCACTTGAGTCCAGGAGGTCAAGGCTGCAGTGAGCTGTGATCACACCACTGCACTCCAGCCTGGATGACAGAGCAAGACCCTGTCTTGAAAAAATAAAAATAAAAAAAGTGTGTGGGTGGGTGTGTGTCTACAGTCATGAGCCTCAAAATGATGCTTCAGTCAATAATGGATGACATATACAGTGGTGCTCCCACAAGATTATAACGATCTTAAAAACTCCTATCCCCTAGTGACATCACGGCCATTGTAACCACAGGACAGCACATCCCTCCTGTTGCACTGCCAGCCGTATAACAGTCTAACACGTATGTTATCTGCAGCACCTAATAGTTGGTAATGATATTAATGACTATGGCCTTGGTTTATCTATTTACTATACTCTACATTTTTGGCGGGGAGGTGCAGTGGCCAGAGTCTCACTCTGTCATCCAGGCTGGAGTGCAGTGGCGCCATATCGGCTCACTGCAACCTCCACCTACTGGGTTCAAGCAATTCTCATGCCTCAGTCTCCCAAGTAGCGGGGACTACAGGCGCGCACCACCACGCCTGGCTAATTGTTGTATGTTATGTAGAGATGGGTCTCACTGTTGTTGCCCGGGCTGGTCTGGAACTCTTGGGCTCAAGCAGTCCTCCTGCCTTGGCCTCCCAAAGTGTTGGGATTACAGGAGTGAGCCACTCACTGCGCGCAACCTATACTCTTTTGATTGTTACCATTTAGTGTGCTCCTTCGCCTTATGTTAAAAAGTTAAGTGTGAGGCAGCCTCAGGCAGGTCCCTTGGAAGGGATTCTCAAAGGCGTTGTGACCATGTGTGTTACTGCTTCTGAAGACTTTGCACTGCAGTCGCGTGTGGAGGAGGAAGACAGGGAGGCCGGGCATCCTGACCCTGTGCAGGCTTACACTAATGTGTGTGGATCTCAGTTTTGAACAAAAATATTTAAAAAGCAAAAAAGGGAAAATAGTTTATAGAAGAAAGAGAATATTGGTGTACAGCTGCATAATATGCTTGTGTTTTAAGCTAAGTATTATTAGCAAAATAATCGAAACGTTAAAACGACATTTAAAAAGTTAATAGAATAAAAAAGTTCCAGTCGGCTAAGGTTAATTCCTTAGTGAAGAATGAATCTTGTTAAAATGAACTGAGTGCAGCCTAAGTGTACAGCGTTGATGAGGCCTTCATCGGTGCACAGGAATGAATGTCCTGGCCTTCACACCCACTCACACCTCCCTCACTCACTCACCCAGTGCAACATTCCGTTCTGCGAGCTCCACTCATGCTGAGTGCCTTATACAGGCGCCAGTTTTCAGGTTTTGTGCTGTATTTTTACTGTCCCTTGTCTAAGCTTAGGGATGCTTAGATGCACACATGCTGACCATTCCTTGTGTTACTCAGCATAGCCACATACCATCTACATTTGTAGCCTGGGAGCAAAAGAATCTGCCATATACCCTTGGTGTGTCAGAGGCTGGGCCAGCCAGGTCTGTGTGAGTCCACCCTATACGTGCACAAAGACAAAATCACCTAAGCACACATTTCTCAGAGGCCAGCTCCATCATTAAGTGGCATGTGACTGCAGTTACTTAAAGCTCCCACTCTTTTTGTTTTGTTTTTTGTTTTTTTGAGCCAGAGTTTTGCTCTTGTTGCCCAGGCTGGAGTGCAGTGGTGTGATCTCAGCTCACTGCAACCTCCACCTCCCAGGTTCAAGCGATTCTCCTGCCTCAGCCTCCCAAGTAGCTGGAATTACTGGGATGTGTCACCACGTCCAGCTGTGTATTTTTAGTAGAGACAGGGTTTCTCCATGTTGGTCAGGCTGGTCTCGAACTCCCGACCTCAGGTGATCCGCCTGCCTCGGCCTCCCAAAGTGCTGGGATTACAAGCATGAGCCACCACGCCTGGCCAAAGTTCTCACTCTTAAAACATGCATTTCATTCCTTTGACTTCTTGTATGGGTTGCATATAAAGTGTATAAAAATGCAATGTGTCTGTAGAGAGATATACACACTTTATATTATATCTATATACCTATATTATATATTTACATACAGCCATATATTGATACATATCTATATAGCTATATTATACATATTTACATATACATTTATTATTTGCATATATTTCTAAATATATATAGATTTATATACATTTATGTATTTCCAAATAGCTATGCTATATATTTTATATAAACATTATATATAATTTATAGATAAATCTGTATATATAATTATCTATTTATATAAGGTATAGACAAATCTATATTCCTTTGACTTTTCTGTATGCTAGTTGGTATATAAAGTATATAAAAATGCAATGTCTCTGTAGAGAGATATACACACTTTATATGTACACACCTATATTATATATTTGTTACATTATATACAGCTATATATTGATACCTACAGATTTATATTATACAGATCTACATATACATATATTTATATATTTCTAAATACATAGCTATATTTATATATTGCTAAATATATACTATATATGGATATTTATAAATATATGTAATTTATAGATAAATATATATATATACTTATCTATTTACATGATGTATAGATAAATATATTCCTTTGAGTTTTCTGTATGCTAGCTTGTACATAAAGTGTATAAAAATTCAATGTGTCTGGCTAGTCGCAGTGGCTCATGCCTACAATCCCAGCACTTTGGGAGGCCAAGGTGGGCAGATCACTTGAGGTCAGGACTTTGAGATCAGCCTGGCCAACATGGTGAAACCCCGTCTCTATGAAAAAAAAATTACAAAAATTAGCTAGGTGTGGTGGCAAGTGCATGTAATTCCAGCTACTCGGGAGGTTGAGGCAGGAGAATCGCTTGATCCTGGGAGGTGGAAGTTGCAGTGAGCCAAGATCGCATCACTGCACTCCAGCCTGGGAGACAGAGTAAGACTCCATCTCAAAAAAAAATGCAATATATCTATATATAGGTATACACACTTTATATTATTATTTGTTTAATTTGAGACGGAGTTGAGCTCTTATTGCCCAGGCTGGAGTGCAATGGCGTGCTCTTGGCTCACTGCAACCTCTGCCTCCCGGGTTCAAGCAATTCTCCTGCCTCAGCCTCCCAAGTAGCCGGGATTACAGGCACCCACCACCACACTCGGCTAATTTTTGTAT